TAACTATCTCTGAATTACTAATAAAGATACGAGCAAGGCCTCACCTTAAAACAAAAAAAAAAAAAAAAAAAAAAAAATGAATTGCCTTTACTTATCGTAATCATCTCAGAATTCGTATTTAAGTCCTCTAAATCTACACAACCACGATATACTTCATCAAAATAATTTTTCACATTAACTTCTGTATCTTTCACAGCTTTATACACATTTGTTTCGTTATCTTCCACAGTGTTACTTGTGCTAACTTCATCAGTATCATCTATATTTTTGTCTATACTAACATGTTTCATCATATGTTTATAAAAAGTAAACCTGCGTTACTATTTTTCATTTCATTTATAGTGCTTGTATTATGGTCTACTTCTATACTAATATTCATAATATTTGTAGAATTTTAGAGAAAAGAGATCAGAGTAGAAATTAGTTGTATTACTGTATAAATATATTGTGAATCAATCACTACTTTAATCACTATCATTATGATGGTTTATTAGATTTGTGATACTGATGCATTTAGTGTACTATACATTAAATAATAAAATCCTAATTTTAATATACAAATATAGTTAGAAAATTTTCAATATTATGTAATACAAATTATTTTGATTTATAGTAAAAGATCTGCAATTAGAATATTCTTTTTCTAATTTTATAGTATAAATTTTGGCCAAATTTTTATTTCGCTGTTGCACTTTTGTTATTTAGTATATAATTATCTTATAAAGCTTCTAGAATCCTTACAGATTCCTAAACTATATAGTTTTAGAAAATATTTTGTAAAAAAATTTCAAGATTTTTTTAAAACTGATTGTTATTTTTAGATAATAAAAAATGCTTTTGTTTTTTAAATTGAAATTAATTTTAAAATACTCTTTTAATATATTTGCAGATGATTTCCATATTGTAGAAAATTTCTAACTGAAATATAAATACAGATAAAAAATATCAAAACTACATTTTTGATATTTTTATTATAAATATATCAAAATTGTAATTTTAGTCATCAAGGTATATAGAAATGTAAGTCCTCTAATAATTTTATTTTAAGTATAATTTCTCATATTATTTCTTCTTTTATTTCTTGAAAAGAAAATATCATATAAGATTATTATATTTACATGTCTACTAAATAGCAAATATATATATGT